GTCAGTTGACACATTAAATATCTCTCTTCCTGGATCTACTACTTCCTTTCAAATCGGCCCGCTCGCTTGTCTGGCTGAGTTCTTGGGCGGCGGTTATTGACGATATACCATACTCTATTCGTATCAAGGTGCGAATTGATGAGAGTCTGATCGTAAATGGAAGAAGAACTTGTTTCCATCTCCGACTGATAGTCAAACAGAAATGGTAGGTATCTGACAGTCGTCTATTTGATGGCACATGCCTGCCTGCTAAGCAACATGGTAGCGTAGTGTGGGAAGAAGATTGACCGGCCACTTGTAAGAAGATCCTGCAAAGGTGGTCAAGTCATAAATAACTACACGATCCATGACAAGATATCAGGGGGTGTCGTGCTGTGCGTGTGAGAAGGTGGGTGGGTGTACATGGCCAGGCAGACATTGTGTATAATCGAGTGACTTGATCGTCAGGCTTAAGAGTTGATAGTTATGTTCATCATCGTCAAAGTTCGAAGACAGAACGAGACGCGAGGCTCTGCCGAGAACATCCCAGGCAGCTGGAGATGCTTATCAGGAAGGATAGATATGACCATGATGTTGGCTTTCTCCGCGTAAGCAATCATTCAACCTAACCTGGTAGTAGCTAAGCGGTGACAGCCGTATCAATCAAAAATGATAACGGCCGGTATCGTCATCATCTGCGTATACCAGGCAGAAGAAACCATTGAGTCCTCAATACCTATCCAGTCCGGTCCGGCCCAGAAACATCTCAATCAACCAAAGAGAATCGCTTCATACATGCGAATAGTAGTACTAACCTCAACTTTCGGTTGAGTTCATCGGACATCGGATCTTGTGGGACGAAAGGACATGCGGTTTTGAGTGCCTGTTCACTAGAAACTTTCCATGTTATCTGCTACCTCGGGTGCCGCCGACTCTTGATATATCCAAAAGGGGCTGGGCTGCCTGTTGAGTTGTGATGTCGACTGATAGATAGTTATTAGTTAATACCGGTACATGAAAGAGACTACCTCATTGTCAAAGTTGGCTGCCTGGAAGATTTGGAAAGACTGAGACGGCAGTGGATAACGAACGTACGTACGTCTATGACTGTTCCTTGGGAATGGTGTAAATGAGAAGGCAAGATGCATGCTTGCTTCTGACAGCCACCTAATCAATCTACCTGGTGCTCTTGGCTAAGGTAGGTAGGTACTCAAGTGATGTTCTTACATCAGTTCATCAGTTCTACTCAGGAGAGGAACAAAAACGAGTATAGGTATGTAAGTTTATTTGGGCAGTCTGTTTTACCTACCACCGAAATTTCCTCTTTCATGCAAGGGGGTGCAAGTTCTGGAAGAGACACTCCCACTTTACTTGCTCTGAACTGACCCCTCAGATGGATGAACCGATTGAGTTAGGTTCCATTCCTGATGTTCGTTCGTAGCTTAATCGTTCCATTTTAGAACAGTTCGCTTTATCTCCTCTCTTCATGTGCAAAAAATGGAAGGGTATTTATTACAAACGCTTCAACTGATCCATGTGTGCTTCATCTCATTGAGCCCGTGAGATGACCTGTAACTACTTCGCCGAGTATCTCGGTGTACGAGATAACCCTGTGTTGCCAAAGGTTGGAATGTGAGATGGCGCGACGGCGCGGAACGGAACAACACCCGTAACGTGTTGAGAAGACGTAAATAAAAGTCGAGGCTAAAGCCAGAAAAGATATATCCACTTCACTCCCACATGATCCTCTTTGCCTTCAGATTTTTCCTGAGCAACGACGGTAAGTGATATGGCCCGCCTTTGGTTATGTTGATACAAACAGCAGTAAATGGCTGGAGTCGTTGTCTCATGAGCTATGTATAACACTCCTCTGTGAACTGCGGACACCCAACGTAACGAGATCAAGTTCAACTAACTTCCATTTACTTACGACCATCCAAATCAGCGCAGCCACTTACTCCATGAGAGTCAACGAAGTAAACCGCGAAAAAAGCGAGATGGCATGCTGGAATTAGGGGGTGCCTATACGCTGGGTATATTATAAATAGACAAGAGGTTACCAAACATTCCCCATTCCCCCTTTTAAACCGCAATGGCCCAGCCAACAAATACACCATCCGTTTATGAGCAATTCAATGAAGCAAGCCGAAAAAAAAATGATGGATGAGCGCCGCCTCCAACGACCAACCGGATTTTTCCTTTCCGCTACTCTTTTCCCCTTTTCGGTATCTCCCAGCCCGAGCGTATCATAAGTCATCCGGGCCCTTTAACCTTATCGTCTTTCTTATGACATATAGAAAGTACGAATGTACCTCCAAGAAACAGATTCCGGTCTTTTGATGCTCCATGCTAATCGAGCCACGAGGTTTCATGACCGCGGCAGGAGACTCCAAAGTAGTAAGACCGTGGAAGACAAGTCTCTTGACCTGAACCAAGAAAATACGGTCAAGCACCTGTCACCAAGACGGTCTAAGCTTGTATCCAAACCAGAACAACAAGCCTGTGTCTGTCTGTATGTCTTTCGCACGTGACACCTGTTGAACGCCCATAATGCCTCCTCACATGATATTCATGCTATAAGGCACAATAGCCTTATCAATCACCGGCTCGCGGCGACACGTCGTATCCTTCTCGTCACCCCACTTGCCGAACCACTCCTCCTCATTCTTCACAGCGCTATCGAATGCTTTCCTGCACTCCTCGGGCAGCAGATCCCTGATGTCGTCCGGTACTGCGCTCAAGCCTTTAAAGGGAGCAAGGAAGTCGGCACGCGCGGAGGCAGCCCGATCGGCGGGCGATGTGCGGAAGGGTACTTCGTAGGCGGCCGGGGAGATGCCGGCGGGTGGCAGCTCGACTTCCACGTCAGTGATGAGGAAGTTGCGGGATATCGAGGGTTTGACGGGAGGAAGGCCTGAGGACGAGGACGAGGCGTCTTCAGAGTCTACCACTTGCGTGATGCGGGCATGTGTAGGCTGAATGATGCGTGGGTAATGCATTTGGTTGGTGTGGATGTCGTAGACGCCGTTCAGGTTCGCGCGTCGGACGCTGGTGAGGATGCTGTTGAAGTTACTGTGTAGAAAACAGGTGTTAGCGGGCTTGTGTCCGTAGCAAGCAAAGTAAACAAGAGAATGCTTACCTAGCTTCGCGAGCATGCTCCAACTGCCAGTTCACGTCGTTGACGGCAACCCGTCGCTTGGTTGGGGCGACCTTGGCGTTTTGCTGTGGTACTGAAGGTATATTCGAGTGATAAACTGAGCTTGCACCGTGCCACGCCACATATTGGTTCTTGTTGTAAGGCTTTCCTGGCTCGAAGATATCGTTGGGATCGGCAAGCTCGCCCTCAACGACACCCTCCTCTCGCGCCTTGGCGACTTCGTAGTCGTCGACGATCCTTCGTCCGCCGACAATGATCAGGGCGCCGAACTCGCGGAACACTGAGCGTGCCGTCACGATACCAATGGTACGGCCCTTGTAACTGTGTGGGATGATTTCGCGCTCAATCATGTCCCGTTTTTCCTCGTCATTGACGATGATCTTGTAGAGCTTTCTGTGTTTGGTGAAGAAAAGATACGAGTCTCTGAAGCCGACGCAACGTGCTGGCTCGGTCGAAAGCATGTATAGGCGATCTCCACGGCCGAGGACGGTGAATGTGCGGCAACGGTACTCGCGGCCGTCCTTCAGATTTCCCAGCTTATCGACCTTCTTCTCACCCTCCGGGTCCTCGGGAAGGTCCACCTCGTCGTTGATAATATCGAGGACAGTACCATCTTTGTCGATAGACTGTTGGGTTGGTTGAAAATGCTGGCCCTTGCGACCGCCCCTGCCTCTCCATCCTCCGCGACCGCGACGGCGAGGGGTATTTTCATCGCGATTGGGGGGTTCGATTGGTAGAGTGTCCCAGTCGGGAGGTCGGTTCTTGGGTGGTCGCCCCAAGCGTCGGCGGCGGATGACAGGCTCTGGGGGAGGGCTTGGGCTCTTTCCTGATTCGTCTTCCTCTGGGGCTTCCTCTTCCTCGTGTTCGTCACCAACCGACTCGTCATCCTTCTCGGCATCATCCTCGCCATCTCGTTGTGAGGGTTCGGCATCGTCTTGATCGGCATCGGGCATGGGCTCATCCTCGTCGTCTAGACCTTCGAATGTCTTTGGGGTGCTTTCTGATTTGTGCAAGACTTTGGTAAGCGACTGTTTGCTTGAGGACGGAAAGATTCACGTGTGTTATTGAGAGTGAATTACAGTGGTGTGGGATGTAGTCTTTTACAAACTACAAGCAAATGGAGGGAAGAACTGGCAAATGATGGAAAACAGAACAACTTACCAAGGGCTTGTTGCGCGCGTTTAGCGGCTGCGCGGCCTGATCGCCGAGAAGGCATTTTGTCGACGGCAAAGTATCGTGTGCTCGATGATAAGTTGTGATCGGGTTTGGAGTGTCGGCGCAGAGTAGGACGGTCCGATGAGTTACGTTTGGGGTTTGGAGATGACGATGCCAAAATCACTGAGACGCGGTTGAGAGACGGGAGACGTGAAGCCGCTGCAGTCAGCGCTAGTGGTGGTTTGCGCATCAAGCGACTGCCCAATGGCCCACTTAGCGTGTACAGTAAATAGGCAATATGCACTGTGATTCTTTTGGTGCAACGGTCCTATGTGGCACTGTGTCCATCAACTAATCACTGCAACCACTTCATCCCTTAGAAGTTCTGGATTCCAGCTCTTCCATGGACATCTTCGACAAACCTGCCTGTTTTAGACTTCATGTTTTCAACGGTTGGCCAGATGTGGAGTAATGATATCTTGTATTAACTATCATTCTGCTCCCAAGTTCCTGTCGCTGCTAAAGCAAATAGCGAGTAGCTAAAGAAGTCCCCCAATGCCTCGAGTAAGATCAACTTTCAGAACCGCAAATGTCCTTCCAATGTGCCTAGGTGGAAGCCGACTACGTTAAGCCCATTGCCCACCTTATAGTCAAAGTGAAGACCTCTGATCACACGCCTGGACCCCTTCGACCTGCCACACTGCAGCCTCTGCAGTCACTGGCCCTATCTTGTGTATATGATGATCCGCTTCACTCCCGACCACGCAAGATGCTCCCAAACTTCTGAAAATCCGGACGTGCCTGTGGGTTGCCTTTTGCCTGTCAACCAAGTTCAAAAGCCGCCACGTTCTCAGTAGGACTACCTTGTCATCTTAGTGAGGCTGACCACCCTGTCAAGCTTAAGAAAACGCAATGCTGTCACGCCGCGATTCTGTCCCGTGAAAATCAAAAGCCAACGCTCTATCCAAACTACCCGCGCACCCGAGGTCCCTAATTCGCAGGAAGCTTGTCGAGGTTTGGCACTCCCTCAGGGAAGATCTCCTCAAGCAGCTTGTCCTTCTTGTTATAGAGCAGACGATAAGCTGTCTTGACGGTTCCGTCGCTGACACCCGCCACTGCCGCAATCTCCTTGGATGTACGTGACTCGTTCCTGATGTGGGATGCCATGTAGATACAGGCAGCGGCGACGGAAAGGGGTGAACGGCCAGCCAGCTCCGAGATAGTGCTGGTCTTGTCGGCCAGCTGGCGGGCAACATCCTCGACCGCAACCGAGTTACGGAAGTTAAGGTTGCTGCAGTAACGAGCGCAAAGCTCGGTAGCGGTAGTAGATCCCTTGCCCTGGTATTGCTGGTTGAAGGTGGGGATGCTGGTCGTGATTGCATGTTCCTCGCCTCCGATCTTCTGGAGGAAGGATTCCAACTGCTTGAAAACCCTGCCAATCTCCTTCTTGGAAACCTTGGTCAGGCTGTAGATCTCACGGAACGTACGCGGCACTCCCGTTTGGCGGCATGCAATGAAGATGCAGCCAGCAGTGATGGCTTCCTGAGACTTGCCCTTGAGGGCCTTGTTGTCCTCAACGAGCTTGTAGATGTGCTTGGCAGCATTTGCCACCTGGGTACCAGCATTGATGCTGTCCGTCAAGCCCTGAATATCGCGGTAGGCCTGCATGAGCTGCTTCGAGTTCTTGTCCTGAGTGATCTTGTTCTGAAGGTGGGACAGATTCTTGCCGTTCTTGCCATCGAACGCGATAGTGGTCTGGAGCTGATCACCATCGATCAGCTGGTTGGGACCATCACCAACACGAGAGGGGTCATCGTTGCCCTGGTCGTCGTTGGAGAAAGTACGCCACTCGGAGCGGGTGTCGATAATACGCTCGCCCAGCACGAGACCGCAGGAGCCGCAAACCATGTCTCCTGACGAGAACTCTTCGACGAGGTGAGGTGGGTCTTCCTTGCACTCCGGGCACATGAGGACATTCTGGAGATTCTCCTTGAACTTCTCCTGCTGCGGAGGCTTGGGAATGACGAAATCGGCCATTTTGGGCGTTGTTAAACGGGACTGTGTATTTGGACTATCTGGAGGAGATGGGAAAATGGTCGTGGCCCAGGTGAACTGCGGGTTCAAAGTTTCTGCAGTGGAAAACCAGAAGCCGGGAAATTAAATGGTCGAAAAAACGTCAAAGGCGGGGTAGGACGCGAGACCCCCAAGATTCGATTGATTTGGTGCGTCGCTCTGAACGATAGAGATCGAAGCCCTTTGTTGCAAATGGGCTTGTCTGTATTTGGGCGTGACTGCTCCGGTTTACCAGTGAAGGCGTCTGAGGGAGCGCTCGAGTGAGGCCGCCGCAGAACAGAGAACAGTCGGGTCACGGTCGGTACGCTGGAAGTAGTAGTCGTCGGAGATTGCAGATGCTTCGAGGGACTTTTTATCGAACGAGACAGAACCTAGGGGAAAGCGGTCGAAATCGATTTCGTTGATTCCGGCTTCAACGATCAAAGTGTTTTTATCGGCAGCGTTGCTGTCAATGATTTGTGAGCGAGCGAGCGACGACAGGCAGTGACGGCGTTGAAGAGACGGGGCGTGCGTGGAAGAAGGGGCGAGGCGCGGAGTCCTGAAAAAAAAAAGAGAAAGAGAGAGGAAGTGGAAAGGCCCAGTCCGGCGTTCTTGTTGAGCCAAAGTTGAAGGGAAGCCCAGACCCGACTGACGGGCCGGCTGTTTGGCTGACGGTTGCGGCTTGGCCTGTAACACTGGCAAAACCGCTGTAGGGATTGGCCCTAATCGCTATGCGTCATGGCCCCAGTGACACCTCAGCAGGCACCAGCCTGGCGGTTCTGGTTCCATCCAAGCCCGGACCTCAGCTGCCGAGCCCCACATGGCTCCCGTCTTGTTCCTGTCCTGGAGCGAGGCGGAACCGTTTAAAACAGGGAGTTTCCCACCTTCCCCCGTCTTGCCACTGCACTTTCAGCCTTATAAGAGAATCGCCATGCATCCTTTATGGACCCCGGCCGGACTTCCGAGTCCCGACGCAGCATTAACGGAGTTCAATCCGGAACCCCGGATCCTATTTACGGACGAGCCGCATCGCATGGAATCGAACATGTTGTTCCTTCATATCAACCTGCTTTATCTCTGATACGATTTAGGAGGCCTGAAGACCGCCACGGCGAACCAGCATGTTAGACGACATCTCATAACGGCTCTTTGGGATCTCTGCGCCCACGAACAACGATAGAATGACCTTCGAATACAGGTATTATCTTTGTGTGTTTGGGGAGTTCACCAGAAGCTCATAGCAAGTTAAACCGAGGGGCTAGGTGGACTGTGCATGAGGAACAAAGATCGTGACCTTATGATGATGATCTAGCAAGCTACATCAGGCCTCTTTGTGGGAAACTGACTTGCGTTCCCCTCGTGTCTTCCATGGAGAAGTCGATGTCAACGTTGGTGATGGGCTCTGAAGCCTGGATATTTTACCCATTCCAAGTCACACGACAGTTTGACTGCGTGATCATTTAAGGACACGGCTCCTCCCGTTCCTGACTCTATCAGCAACACCAACAAGCGTCACCATCCACAATCAAGGTGCAAGAAATCACTCGGAGGCAGTGACAGTGACGGGAAATCACTGACAAAGAAAGAGGGGAACTCGGAAAACATCCGCGAAAACATCCGCGTTCCCCGGCAAGGAAAACCATACAACCCAAAAACAGCCACACAAAGAAGATTGTCACCAATCCGCTAGCCACTAAATGTTGATTGTTGCCGTCATACCACAAAGAACAGGTCACTACCCACCCACTCGTGCGATCTCCACAGGCCTTTTCCAAGCCTCTGGTTGTGAATGACGCCCGTTAGAGACTCACAAGTATAACTGACCTCTCCCCAACCCTCTCCATCTAATCTAGTGTAGTCCTACGTACCACACTCCTCAACTCCACACAACTAGTTTTTCTCCTCGCCTCTGGAAGAAGAAGAAGAAGAAGAAGAAGAAGAAGAAGAAGAAGAAGAAGAAGAAGAAGAAGAAGAAGAAGAATAAAAAATGCCACGCCTCCACAAAGCCCACGGCTCCGCTCCATACATCTACATCACCAGCCCCGATTCATCTAACTCCTCTATCTCTGCAAGCGCTTCTGACTTCACCCCCGGTTCCAACTCTCCCACATCTTCCGACTCTAGTTCCAGCTCCTCCTCCTCAGCAGCAGCAGCAGCCTGGCGTTCCAACGCCTCCGAGCTCCGCGACGTGACGCGCGACTTCTCGGCCGCGCGGGCGACTTCGACGGACGCTAAGACCAAGAGTTACACGGAGAAAGAGGTGGCGAGGTTTGAGGCGATGGCGAGGAATGCGGAGCTTATGGCGAGTATGGCCATGGCGGCTTCGGCTGCGAAGAGGAGGGATGGTGTGAGTAGTAAATGTGCGTAAGTGTGTCCTAAGTGGAGGAAAGAATAGAAGGGGAGACGGAGGAGGAGTGGTTACATACCTCTACGGAGGGAATGGATGCAAGACTTGACTCTGACAAGTTCCTATGGAAACAATGTTCACCAAGAAGGAGACAGACAGATTGCGTAATAGTATGTGAGAAACTAGGAGATCTTTTTTTTGGCCCCTTTTCTGGTATTTAAAAAAGTCGTAAACTCGTGACGATACTCAGATATCTAATTTTTACTCTCGGTCCGTCCAGGAGTACCCAACCCACCACCATAAACCATGCCTGCTTAGAAGAGACCAAACTTCTTGCCGAGGCCGGCGAGGTTGTTGTCACCGTTGTTGTTACCGTTGTTGTTGTTGTTGTTGTTATTGTTATTGTTGTCCTTGTCCTTGATAGGGAACTCGTTGCCAGTAGCCGTCTTGTAGCCGTTGCGGATGGCGTCGGCAATCATGTTGTCCTTGGCCTGCTCGACGGCACTCTCGTTGTCCTGCGGGCCCTGCTTGAGGAACTTCTCCTGGACGCAGTCGATGCCTGCAGACGAAAACAAAGTTGGTCAGATTATTGTTTGATAGGATAGGGGAAAAAATGGGAGGAAGTGTTTTGATGAACTTACCCTTGTCCAGATAATCCTCGTTCTGCTCACCCTTGGCACCACCGCCAGCCATGTTGTTGAAGGCGTTCATGAGACCGCCGGAGTTGTTGTTGGAGGACTGCTGCTGGTTGTTGTTGTTGCTGTTGCTGTTCTTGTTCTGGCCGCTGATGCCAGAGATGGCCATACCACTAAGCTTGCCAAGGAGACCGCCGTCGCTAGAAGAGTTGTTCTGCTTGTTGTCAGAGCCGTAGCTGTTGTTGTTGCTGCTGGAGCCGTAGCCGCTCTGCTTGTTCTCGGAGCCATAGGTGTCGCTGGAGCCATAGCTGGAAGGCTTGTCGTCATCGTCGCCCTTGTAGCCGGCATCATTCTTATAGCTCTGGTTGTTGTTGTCGTTGTTGGAGCCATAAGAGTTGCTGGAGCTGTCGTTGCGCTTGTTCTCAGAGCCGTAGCTGTTGCTAGAGCCATAGCTAGACTCCTTTCTCTCATCGTCATCGCGCTTGTTGCCGGAGCCATAGCTGGAAGACTCCTTCTCATAGTCGTTTCTGCGGTTGTCCTCAGAGCCGTAGGACTCGTTCTCGTTACGCCTGCTCTCGGAGCCGTAGCTGTTGCTAGAGCCGTAGCTGGACTCCTTCTTCTCGTAGTCGTTGCGGCTGTTGTCGCCAGACTGGTAAGAGGAAGACTGAGGACGGTCCTCGTTTCTACGGTTCTCATCGGAGCCATAGTTGGAAGAGCCGAACTCGTTCCTCCTGTTTTCACGGTCCTCAGAGCCGTAGTTGGAGGAGTCCTCGCGGCGCTCGCCCCGTCTCTCGTTCTCGCGCTCGGAGCCGAACTCACCACGCTGGGAGCCGAACTCGTTATCACGCTCGCCGTAGTTGTTGTAGGACATGTTTGCTGATTTGGATTAAAGTAAAGGGATGATGTGGATGAGGATGAGGATGAAGAAGGAGAAGAAGAAGAAGATGATGATGATGAGACTTGGAAGATCGCGGGAACAGAGTAACCGAGGGGCCACTGGAAGATGTACAGGTGATTATATAGTGTTTGATAGTATGTGACACTAGAGGAGAAACAGTCTAATCTACTAGGACGAGGAGTGGTGGAGATGGCGAGATGAGTCCGATGAATCGCGGAGAAGGTCTCTCTCTAGTTCTCAGCTGAGCTGGGGTCGAGCACTTAGGTGCTGTGCAACCAACGTACGAGAACCCAGGCAAGACCATGTCAGACATGTCGTCGTGATTGAGGACTCCGAGTGACGTTATCGATCTTCAGACTGCAGGTGATACTCACTAGGAGATACAAGTGGGGAGACGGGCAAGCCGGACCCAGAAGGCCAGAACTAGACTCTGATCGTAGCTTGTGGCGGTGCTACGCCTTTGCTTCTTTTGACGCACCTTCCACACCCATCTTTGAGATCGGACGTGCTTGTGATTGTTGTTGGTGATAATGATCTCGTAGCTACCCCTGAACCGCGGTATAAGCTCGGAGTTTGTAATTCGAATGCTCTCACCTGGAGAACCTCTACGGCCTGGCACTAGTGGTTAATGATATCAATCTCCATCGACCAGAACAACCCAGACATTGCCAGATCATCGGCAACTCCCGGGGGAGACTTCCACAGACTCCAATCACGACTCCATTCTGCGTTAATTATAGACAGAAAACCCCACGGAGGAGAAGGGCATGATTTCAGCGGCCCATCACAACGCATGCAGACGCCACGCCGCCAAGAGGGTCCAGAGGTGCTGCGTGGGTAGCGTGGTGTGCGTGGGTTGAGGAATGGACAAACAAGGAAGTGAGGGCATTCAGCTCTGAACCCCCTGCACACCCCTCCATTGCAGTGAGGTCTGGGTGATTGAAGCTCTTCAGTGCGGGGGAAAGCGAGTGCCGACACCGTGCACGAGCCAGAGGGTGATGGCGATCCCGACCGGGGGCACCAGACTGGTTCGTGCACGACCATTTTTATGCAACCCAAAGGTATCACTTGTATATGCCCAATGCGGACGTGTAATAGTATAAACGTGAATTACCGAAATACTTATTAGATTAACTTTGAGAGGTTAGTATTAGGGTTAGCTCCGGGGGTGCAAGGGGCCGGTGAAAGGCCCCGCGTGTGAATATTTCATCATATGTCAACCATATGTCTTGCATAAAATATGCATCGGGACTGCCGTTCGGCAGAGGCCGCAGAGGTACCGCGGCAGGCCCCACCTTGGCTGCCCTGCCCCCCGGCGCCCGTCATCGTCAAATTCCATCATCTCATCCACCGTCAGCGCACACTCACAGTGGTGACAATAACACCAACATCAGCTTGAACCGACATCGCAAATAACCAATTCCACAGTCATGGACTACGTCGAGAACAGAATGGCCCAGGAAGCCGCCAAGCAGACCGGCAGTGCCGAGTAAGGGATTCCCATGACAATCGCAAGCTTCTTCTGCTTTGGTGTTTCTGATGGCGCTAACTGAGATAACCCTCCCGCGCGCAGGTCCTTCGTCACCCCCCTCAACCTCGTCCTCCTCGGCATGCTCCTCTACACGGCCTACAGCTGGCTGAGGCCCCATAGCCCGGCCACCATTCCCAAGGAAGAGCCCGCCGTCGTGTTCAGAACCTTCACCCCGAGGACGCTGCTGCCGTACAACGGCGAGAATGACATGCCCGTCTACCTGGCCGTGCGTGGTCGCGTCTTCGATGTCACCCGCGGTCGCAACTTCTACGGCCCCGGCGGTCCCTATGCCAACTTTGCCGGTCGTGACGCCTCCCGCGGTCTCGCCTGCGGTAGCTTCGACGAGGAGATGCTTACCAAGGACCTTGACGGCCCGCTTGACACTCTGAGCGATCTTGACAAGGATCAGCTGGAAGCGCTCCAGGGCTGGGAAGAAAGGTTCCTTGAGAAGTACCTCGTTGTTGGCAAGCTGGTGGCTGCTGGCGAGGAGGACAAGGCTGAGTAGAGTGCTCGAGCATGCGAGCGCGACGAGAAACGAAAACAACCGAGACATGGAAAGGAGAGAATGGACAGCCTCTCTCACCGCGATGCACGAAGCACTCCGGTATCCGCAGCAGAGTCTCACTCCGTAACATGGAGGACGCTGTACACAAAGGATACTGATGAAGACGGAGGCGCATGGTTCGGTACTTGATATAACGGCGAATGTTGGTCTACTTTAAAATGGCGTACACCCTACCGATTAAGAGGCTGGCATGGGAGCCAATGACCTTAAACGATCTAGAGTTTGGCATATTTGGTATATACAATTTGGGGTCATGATGGGTGCAAATATTTCTTCCGCTTGTATTATCCTTATATTAACTGTTTCGGGTTTTTGGTTTATTAATGAATCTCTGATATACCACAGTTCAAGTACCGAGTTACACCAGACACTATTTGAGAAGCTTTGTGTTCTCACTCCTTTCCTCCCCCTTTTGCGCTCCTATCTCATTGCCTCAACAGCTTCGACACCACCCATCCTCCGTCACAATGCGTCTCCTCTCCGCCCTGCTCCTGGCCGAGACGGCTAGTGCCCTCACAGACATCGAGCACAAACCCTTCATGCGCAAGAACATCGACCCCATCGTCTCCCCCGGCAAGTACATCTCGCACATGCACTCCTTCTACGGCTCCGACGCCATCACCAAAGACCTGCCCACCACCGCACAACTACAAAAGGGCTGTTCATCCGGCGAAAACCCCAACGACCTCTCCATCTACTGGGCGCCCACGCTCTACTACGTTTCGGGAAACAACACCTACACCGAGATCTACCCAGCCACCTTCAAAACCTACTACGAGCAAATCGACCACGCCGAGATCCCATTTCCCGCCAACTTCCACGCCGTCGCCGGCAACGCCTCGGCGCGGTCCCAGTCCGACGTCGACGAGCGCGTTACGGCTTTGACTTGGTGGTGCGACGGCAACGGGCCCGAGGACCGCAACTCCCGCCCGAGAGCGGCGTTCCCCAGACAGACTTGTAGCGCTCATATGCAGGCTATTTTGAGGTTCCCGGATTGCGTGAACCCGGATAAGGTGGAGGAGTATGCGTATGCGGCGCAGAATGGCGGGAGGTGTCCGGGTAAGATGAAGAGGATGCCGAGCTTGAGGTTCAGTGTTAGGTATGATACGAGGAGGGCGATACCGGGGGGTTGGAAGGGGATGCCGCCTTTTAAGTTGGCTTGTGGGGAGGTGAGGAGTTATTGTCTTTTTGAGAAGTGCTTTTGAGTTTAACTGACGCAATTCTGCCTGCTTGCAGATTGGCGATGGGTATTGTTTCCATGGCGACTTCATCAATGGATGGTTTGAAGATGCGGCCCAGAACATGTTGAAGGCCAAGGGGCAGACGTTTATGAGGATTGACGGAGCTCATGGAAATGGAAAGCAGTATAGTAAGTGCAAGGCTAGGGATGCGGATCCGGAGAATGGGACAAGTGACTACCTGAAGAGTCTAGAGATGATGCATGGACATATGAAGAAGAAGGAACGGACGTGGGAGGCTTAACAGTGGCTTTCTGGGTTCAGTGCTTCTTGTCACGTATGGAGTGCTGTTAGTAGTTCCTTTCTCTTGTTGTCTCTAGTACAACAGAGACTATATCAGAAACTAGTCCTAGTCACCAACCCAGGAGCGTCATGAGACATCCCTAATCTACTTCTCAACTCAACTGGCACCTCGAACTCAGTCTCCTTTGGAACCAGTCCCAACTCTGCCAGTTCCTCATCAATCACATCTGGTCTCTCATCAAGTATCCTCTTCAACTCCCTCGCCTTATTTGTGACATCCTCAATGCTCACAATCATATTTTCCGCCCACTCTTTGATCAACCCAGCCGGTATCCCAATCTGAATACTGCGATAGTTCAGACTATCCAGCCGCACCGTCCGCTCGGGATCCCATTGGATCTTGACGTTGAGTGACTGTAACCTGTCTTTTCTTTTGCTTTCCCTGCTGATCTTTTTGGACGCCTTCTTCTCCGTCTCCGTGTTTGTTCCTCCTTGGGAATCACTTGTCATTTCCTCCTGCTGCTGTTGCTTTTGACGTGACCCCGACCGAGGACTCGCAGTAGCAGTAGAAGTAGTAACATGAGTCAATACCCCCTTACCCAATAACCCCAAAAAATCCTCCCGTTTCATCTTGATAGCCAGTATGCGCTCCTGTCCCGGGTCCTTGTAAGAATGTCCGGAGCGGTAGAGCATCCAGGCCCAGCTGGGCTTGATCCAGGTCATACGAGTGGTGCGAAAGTCTGGGGAAGCATCGAGTCGCTGGTGGGCGACGGCGGCTGTGGCGATGGTGGATGGGTAGGCTTGGTAGACTGTTATTGTTGCGCCATCTTGATCTTGGAGGGCGCGGATTTGTCTGGTGGGAGGCTTGGGGGGGAGGTTTGGGAATGACATTTTTGGTTGATGTTTTCTTGAGTGACAACTTGAAAGCTGATTCCAGTGAATTCTTGTGTTTGATTCTTCACCACTCAATACCAAGTTCAAGATGGTGGTAGTCTCTCGGTTGCAAAAGAAATTGAGTATCTGAAATCGGTGGAAGGTGAGTCTTGGTGATACAGACTGTAATCGCAACCCCTGACCGACGAAACTCGCTGTTGTCTCTAGCTATTTCTTGGCATCATCTCGTTCAGTAACTGTTGCTCCCATTCCCCCGTTCTGTATCTGTTCATTGAACATTTCAAGTTTCATGTATGTCACCTCAACACAACTCAGATCGGACTTGTTGACTGATGTACGTAATGTCATGTTTTCTCGCCCGTATAGGTGGGAGTTGTAGTCCCGCGTTACTTTGGTGATCTGAAATTGTTAGTGCTCGATGAACTCTGCAACGCAACAGGCTAGTAACAACTGAATCGCTTGATCTCCCCAAGACCGAGTAAACTCGAGGCTTTCTGGATCACCAATGATAGACAGCTCGCTTGCCCGTACCTGAGTACATCCGAGGGCATTGCTCGATGATAGACAGAAATAGATGAACTCAAGTTGTGAAGGAGAAATGTAGTAGAATGGAGGTCGGCACTAGCCACATCCGAGCCACGATATGCACCGCCACACAATCATAGGACGATCTTCCCCAGACTTCCCCAGACTTTACCGGAGTTCCTCCCATCTTTCTTTGCTCGAGACACATCTGGATCTTTTGAACTCCCAAAACCTTCCCCTGAATCGCGTGGGCATTTAGGGCATTCCCAAAGGCCTGGCAGGGCAAGCGACAGGGCAAAGCGAGTTTGAAACCCCAGAGTGATGGACGTGAGGTCATCCACCCGATCACCACCATCTCCCAGCCAATCGGCGCAATCACCACATCCGGTTCCTGGCCCAACGTTGACAGGCTGACGGCCCGTCCAAGACACATCACCACAGTTTTCCAAGTTTTGTTCCAGTATTCGCTTTGGGACACTGAACCATCGAATAGACTTTTTCTGGATGCGAATTCGGACGTCAAGGTCATCAAAATGGCATGTTGGATCGAGATTTCGAAAGGCCCAGAGCTTCCGTGGAAGTCTTCCTGTGCCGCCCAATGCAAGAATTGTGCAGCTATAATGCACTCTTTTAATGCACTACCTAGCCTCTAGTGGCCTTGCCCACGGCGAGGCTATGATGTCGTTATCCCAATCCGTCCACAACCTGGAATCTGAACCTTCTAGATGACCGAGGCTTCAAGGGCGGGATTGAACATCAAAATAAAGGGGAATACAATGTCAGCATCAAGTTAAGCATCTTGACCGCTAAACGTTCTTCCCCCCTATTTTCTCCACTGAAGGTTCATCATCTCTCAAAAGCTAAAGACTATAAAAGACACCACAACACCACCAAGACCACTTCTCTATCTTCATATCTGCAAGTTCTCCTCCAGTATTCGGTTCTTTGTACACGGTACGGATATCATCGATTTTTCACCAAATCAGGATTCGATCGTGACTTCATTTGCCCGTGGTAGCCACACCTCAACCGCCCCTCTTCCCTAGTGTTGCATGTGGCGACCTCGTCTCCCTGTCTATCTGGGCAACAACTTCCAAGTCTTGATACTGCCGTCGGCGGCTGGTAATGCATCACTACAGCTACTGTGATAGGCGTACCTGCGTATCGTTGTCACCATGTCATTCGTGAAGCTATCAAAATGCCCATCGAACCCCGAGATCCCTTCCTTTCACCATGTTCGCCCCAGGTTCCACCACAACAACACTCATGATCGAATCCGTGAAGGCTCCGACAGACATCCCTCACTTTCTATGATGACTGGGAAGATCAAGAAGGGCAGGAAATCAGTATTCAAAGAATTGGACCTGGACACCGATCAACCTTTCCACCACTACCCAGGCGAAAGAGAGTTCGGCGAGATCACCGGACTTCGTACAGACAACGAGAGTGACGACGGCACCAGTTACAGGCAATCTGGGTCCATGAAATCGCCAACAACACCAACATCGCCCTCGTCTAGAAGACCTTGGTATTCGAAACTTAGTCCAGGAAAAAGACCACGCATCAGCTCGACTTCCAGTGCGCCACCTCCTGGCATGTCGAGCTTTACCAGGCTTACAACGCTTGCCTTGTTCATTGCCGTGGTGATACCGGGCTTCAGTTACTACAACGGTCGTGAAAAGGTGTCACTCAGTGGGGCCGATGCTGGAGTGATTCGAGAAGTGGTACAACCAAGCGGCCCTATCCTCGAACCAAGGGCAGATAGCTCAACCGATTACTGCGCGAGATGGGCAGGACAAAGTGAGATCCTTGCTTGGGCCCTTCACATATTCGACTAACTACTGACCTGTACACGTACAAGGCGCTTCGGTCAACGGGACATTGTACCTCTATGGTGGTCAGTCCAAAACATCCCCAGACCAGACTACGGATACCTGGAGTAAGTCATAATCACTCAGTGCCCTTTAGCTACCACAAACATTGCTAACGGCGTGCTAGATAACGACTTCTACGTTCTGGATCTCACAAAGTCATGGGATACCGGTTCACCACGACTGCGGGGACTACCCAGGCCTTCAGGACCCCCTGCCGTGTCGATGGGATACCTCTGGAATGACTACAACAATCTTTACCTGTACGGTGGTGAATTCGCTGACAACCCCTATGCCGAACCTACCGAAGAGTCCATCTGGAAGTACGACATCAAGAACCAAAAGTGGACAGAGTACAAGCAACCAAAAACTTCTGCCGGCAAGTACTCGACCCAGGGCGACCTGCTTGTCCAGAGATCGGCTGAGGGTTCTGGTATCTCGGTGCCTGAAATGGGATTAAGTTGGTATTTCGGTGGCCATCTCGACCTCGCAACAACGCCTGGATGGTCGAATCAGATACCTCGGGTCTATTTGAAGAGTCTCCTCGAGTTTACACATCCGGGATACAACAACGAGGCCGTCTACGGGTTAGAGGACAAGGGAGCGGGCGAATGGGGCGCCTTTAGGAACATTACCGAAGGCGGTCTCCAAACAGACCAAGTTTTCCACGAACGCGCAGATGGTGCCCTGGTATACGTGCCAGGCTGGGGTGAGAAGGGTATCCTTATTGGCCTGGCGGGTGGTACGGCTGATGAGTTCTCCGACAACCTCGAGGTTTTGGATGTCTATGATATCGCCAGCTCGGAATGGTACCACCAGAAGACCAGCGGAGATGCGCCATCGGTACGAGTTAATCTTTGTGCTGTCATTGCTTCAGCACAGGACTTCTCAAGCTTCCAGATCTATGTGTTCGGCGGTCAAAATCTTCAACCAGCTGTAAGTTTCCATCAGTGTTCATACCTAGGTTGAGGCGGTTGAGAACTAACACCCACCAGAAAGAACAAACGCAGTACTCAGACATGTACATCCTTTCCATCCCATCCTTCACCTGGGTGAAGGTCTCCGACGACGACGATGAACACAAACCTTCGGCCCGCGCCGGCCACGAATGCCACCTCCGTGACGGCCAAATGATCGTCGTCGGCGGCTACACCGGCGGTCAAACATGCGACTCGCCCGGCATCTATGTATTCAACGCCACCTCCCTCACCTGGCAATCCTCATTCAAAGCCCTCGACCACGACCCCGACCTCCATCCCGAAAACTCCGTCCTCGGCAACTCCTTCGGCTACCAAGTCCCCGCCCCAGTCGCCAGCGTCATCGGCGGCTCCGGCTCCGGCGGCGCCACAGCCACCCAGCCCGCCGCGGGCTCCGCGACCGCCGGCCCCTTCGCAACCGGCAAATCGCCCGTTCTAACCATCACCGCCACCGCATGGGGCCCCGGAGCCACCACCACCGCCAAACCGGGAGACCCGGGCAACCCCAACACCGAAACAAAAGGCAAGGACCGCAAGGCGGGGCTCATAGCTGCCGGCGTCATCGCCGGCCTCTTGGGTCTCCTCGCCATCTACCTCGGCTACTGCGCCTGGCTCTACCGCCGCCAGGTGCGCGCCTACAAGACCCATCTGGCCGTGGCCAACCGGTACTCCACCCCTCACCACCCCGGCGCTTCGACCGCCTCTGGTCTGGCCGCTTTCTTCGGCTTCGGCAGCGTCGGGAGAAAGACGAGCAAGCAGAGCCGCAAGTCTGCTACAACCGATCCCCTTAACTCCAACGGAGCAGCAGCAGCGGCCGGAACAGCAAGTAACCGACCAATCTCCCCCTCCAACAGCTCCATCATCTCCTACTCCTCAAATAATTATTACGGCTACGGCGGCATCCCCCCCATGGTGGAACCCAAGATGCTTTTTGAAGACGGCGGAGGTGACCTGCAAAGCCATGCGGAGTCTGCCGGGTACGGAAGTAGTACTCGTACCTCGCACACTGCTTCTCGCGGCGGCTATCCCCGCCCATCCCTCGGCTCGTCACCTATGCCACCTATGCCGGCACCCGCCGCCGCAGGAGGGGGGGTTATATCCTCCTTCGGTACTTCCCCTGGCTCCTACTCGCCGTGGACTGAAGTCTCCATGTCCATGTCAGGACTGGGCTCTTCTGGAACGGGAACCACGCCTGCTACTTTAAGTAGCGATCCTAGCCCCGGTACTGGGACTGGAGGAACTGTCCCTGGAAAGGTTATTCATGTTCATGGTCATGAAGAAGTTGCTGCGGGAGACGACGGGGGGGAATTCTACGACGAAGCAAGGGGTAGTGGTAGTGTATCCTCGACGGAGAGGCTGCTAGAGGGCGTGGAACCGAGTTTCTTTAGTGTGGTGATGGGGCCGAGGAGGGCGTTGAGGGTGGTTAATGGGTTGGAGGAGGAGTTGGATGAGAAGAATGGGGGTAATGTACTGCAGAGGGGGGGTCAGGCGAGACGGGGGTCTTGAGTTTATTAAATGACGGAATGGAATCACGCGTACACGCAAGGAAGGATAAGTTTGTTGTTATTGCTTGGTTGATTTCTTCTTTGTTCTTTGATAATATCACGGTTGCTCGCTCGTTGAATAGCTTTGCTTGATACCCATTATAGTCAAAATCGCCTATATGTATTTATATGCCTAGTTGTCATATTCGTTACACTATACTGATATCCTCCCTTAGTTGAGCTCTCGCTCCAAGCCTGCGTTGGTATCTACCCGTCAAAATGCATCATGCTCCAAAAATCGAGAAAACCGAGGAGACGCCTTATGTACAGAACCATGAGAAAAGCCAAGAAAAAAGAAAATGAAAAAAAGGAAACCGTATGTGGGCTACGTATCAATCACTCCCCGTGGTAACTAGGGATGGAGGGTCCTCATGTCAAGAGGAAATACGTGCAGGAAAAGATAAGAGAAGAGAGTAAAAGATGAAGAAAACATGCCACGGATGCCATCATCAAAAAGCAATGGCTTCAAGATGCGGTCCCATCGGCGCCAAATGCGTCCTAAACCGCTCCATCAACCTCTGCGCCTCCGTAAACCTTCCACTCTGCATCAGATTCTGAATCGTATCCAGCATCAACGACGCCAACTTGGTGATGTACTTGGCCTCCGGATTATCCGGCTTATAATTCGGCAGCCTGGTATTCCACACATACTCATTACTGAGATACTCCAGCGCCAGATTCGGCGACGGGTTCGTGGGATGATACAGCGCCAGATGCGCCATGGCCATCGGCAGCGGCTTACGGAACTCGTTATGGACCGCGGCAAAGGACTCGAACAACGAAGCGGGCGGTATCTGGTGCTTGTACGACTGGCCCGTAGTATGCCAGCACAGCCTGCGCCAGGCGTGCATGAGGTGCTGCGCCGAGGCCGAGGTGTCGTCGATGACCTCCTTGCCGCGCAGCATGGACGTGTAGGCCTCGTCCAGCTCGATGGCCTGGGACTTGGCCATGATGAGGCTATCGAGGAGGACGGCGGGGTGGGCGGCGCGCTCGGGGTTTCCCGTCGTGAGCGCGGGCTCGTTCAGCAGCCGCTGGAACCAGGACCAGGCGAGCTCGTCGAGACCCTCGGCTACCATGTAGCGCAGAAGAAGACGGGTGAAGGTGCGGTTGCCGAGGAAGCCGAGCGAGCGCTCCTTGCCCGAAGAGCGCAGCCAGCGCAGGACGAGCAGACCGGCCCCGGATTCCTTCATGCTCTGGGTGACGGAGACGGCGGCGGAGAGCTGGATGTCGCGCTGGACGGCCAGGAGGAAGCCGAGGGCGCGCTGGGTGTTCATGATGCCCTTGGAGACGGCCAGCTGAAAGATGTCGTTGCGGTTGTTCCTGACGGCCGGGGCAGGGGCGGCGACAGAGGGTGGGACAAAGGCCTTGTTGTTGAAGAGGGGGTTCTCCAGAATGGCGCGCATATGCTTATCCGTCGGACGGGCTGGTACATCTTTGGAGGAGGCGGGAGAAGCCGAGGGCAGATAGGTGACGGTCGGGGCGGCCGGCGCGACCTGGTTGGTATCGGGAGTCCATCCGTGCTCTTTGTCTAGGTGGGCTCGGAAGGAAGCTTTTAGGACATCGAGGAGCTTCTGGGATTCGCGCTGGTTGAGGGGGAGGGGCTGGTGGATTGGCGGGAGGATGCTCTTGAGAGAGCCCAGCGGTTTGGTCTTGAAGAACATGGTCAATCGTTTATTGTTCTGTAGGTATCGGATTGGAAGGCGCCGTGTAGATGACAAAGCTCGGCTTCCGGGGTTCAGGGAGGCCGGGCTGGTCGACGGCCGATCGGTTTAGTGGTCAGTGACCTGATGATGTCGTTGACGATGTCGTTCACGATGGTTGTGCTTGAGGTGGAGTGGAGCTGTCACTCCATGGCCTGGCCCGGCCTTACGACGGGAAATGCGAACCCTGACTCCAGAAAGCACACAATTCAATGACGGGAAAGGACCCACTTCTCCAGGAGAGGATAGCTTATGCAGAAACATGATTGGTTTGTTCGCTCTTCTAGACGGGAGTCTTGGACGCCTGTGGGGGCTTATTTTATCACACCTTCATCACTTGCGCCGAACGGGATGTTCTTGTTCCAGTCCCAAATTCCATTATTACTTCACATCCGCTTCACGGTCTCCTTTCTAAAGTTGCCCCTATTTGGAGCATTGACACAAATGTGCTTCTAGTATTGTGCTCCCGTGTGCGGGTTGTCGGTCACCGCACACGCCCGGCTACGGTGCCGGTATGCGGTCGGTTTCACAGGCACTTGGTATGCACACATATCGCACTAACAAAGGAGGCCATACCGTTAGTTTGTTGCCCATGTGGTAGATCTTCAACCTAGAATCAGGGGCCCAGGCAGAAAAGGGGTGTCTGCTGAAAGGATGCCGGCAACGAGGGCTTTGTATGAATGTCAAGAAGACATTCCTACACTTGTATATCGGGTGTTCAAAGGCTTCAGCTCCATTGTTAGTCCTAAAGCTCGAGCCAACCAGTTGAAGCCGTCAAGACCTGAGTCATGTGACTCATTGACTTCCACTCCAAAACCCACGACCAAACCCGCTGGTTGGGGTCACTGGAGCTAAGCCTGTTTCGAGCTGTACCTGGACAGCCCTGACGTCGTTTGTACCGGCGTGTGTTGAAGTTCCAGGGTGCCTTGGATCCAATCCTTCACACGTCTCGTTGTCTTTTGGATGGAGATATGTAGCCAAACTAGACCAATCAATATCATGCCAGGGAAACGGGATTCAAAGACACCTCTCTCAGAGTCTCTGGCTTCGCCGAGCCAAGCCAAGGGCAGCTTCGCCTCCCCACAGCTTCCCCTTTCGACGTTGCCCAGCTTGCCTGCCCCAGCCCAGCCTTTCGAGCGAGGGGCCTGAGGCTCTGAGGGGCTCGAGGGGCTTGAGGGGTTCCCCATTTTCCATTCGGGCCAGTCAACCATTGTGCTGGGATGGGCTTGCCAAGCTGTGTCCATCTGCTCACTCTGGCCCTGTCATCAGGTGTCTCGCCGTGCCTCCTGAGGCAAGGGGGGCGAATTCCCTTTGCTTCAACTGATTCAATCCGACGCGTCTCTTTCCCTTTTCAATCCCCGCGCTCGTCTCCATCATGGCGGACTGTCCGACGGCGGTCCGGTGCAGGTATTTGTAGTTTTCCGGGCTCAGTTAGCAGCCATGTTGTTTGCGCCCTGCATGATATGGTTAGATAGTTTCCGTGCCTTGCGTGCCTAGTTACCGTAAGGTAGCATGGGGCAGCTAGGGCATATCAGATAGCCTCATCTGGTAGTCTCTTAGACACCGACAAAGGCACCAGCCATGGGAACTTGAGATAGAAAGAGATTGATCAAGATAATCTCAGTCCCCAAGTCCACAGCCTGTCGTGAGGCGCCACGCCGATGGTGTAGTATGGAGGGGGAGTGTGTGCTGGTCCAGTTGCCCCTGGAGCTGGATCGACAACGTCCATGAGTTGGACCGTGGCCTGTAAACTGAGTGAGAAAGGACAGACGGCTTCCCGCCTACTGGCAACAGTGTACAGCCGGGGAGGACAAAGTGAGATGTACCGTAGTAGTTTATTCTCGTGCCGTCGAGATGCCACCCTGCCTGCCCTGCGAGGTGTCGTGCCCCTGGTGGGCGTATCTTCCCGTTGCAGCTGTTGCAGTCCCGTCCGTCAGGTGCAGCTCAGTTGCAATTGCCCTTGGTGACGCTCGTTACAGGCGGTAGGGGTGTGGTGGCTCGGGTGGTTTTCAGCTGGTGCCCACGCTACAGTGACTGTCCCTCAGTTGCAGACAGCGGTTGCGGTGGCCTCTGCTTTTCCGCTTTCCGCGACGGGCCAATTCTGGCTTTTGGTTCTGGCGGGACGAGGCGTCAAAAACTGAATCCGACTACGCTTTCTTTGCCTCGCTTCCACTTCCCACACACCCTCCTTCTCCATAATACCTTTCCACCACGTCAATCACCACCACACCGGCTCTCGATCCCATCACCCGGATCGCAACACCAAGCAAGCCGCCGCCCATAGGCACATTCTGCACGAGGCGCACCGGATTTATTCTCTTCTACCTGTTCTTTTTCTTTTGTCTAGTTCTCCCGAGAAAAGGCCCCCTCCATCCCCCTACTGGACTGGCTGCCCTCGAGAGACGCGACACGCCCACCACTCCGCTACCCACTCGTCTTGACGACCACACACTTTCCACATACACATCTCAGCAATGTCTGAGGTACAGAGCAGGCCCGCCGCCGCACGCGGCAGAGGCTCCGGCCGTGGTGGCCGGGGCGGTCTTTCGACTCGGGGAGGTCGCAGCGCGACCAGGACCAACGGCGATTCCACAGAGTCGTCGTCGCTGCCATCTCTAGAGGATGAGGGCGAGATTGGCCAGCTTAAGAAGCAATACGGCAGCAAGGTTGCCATCATCAAGGAAATGTTCCCCGACTGGTCGGACGTCGATGTTCTATTTGCTCTCAACGAGACAGACGGTGACGAGTCCCTCGCTGTCACCCGCATCGCTGAAGGTACGTCGCCGACTCCCGCTCTGAACCCTCCTCTGCACTCGACCGCCACTTGCTTCCCTTGCCCAAGCCCTTCCTGTCTCAGCTCGTCGAGACGAGTGCCTGTCGTTCCCTGTCGTGTGTGCTGAACCATTGGCTCCTCCGAGCTGCACGCTGCCCCGCCGTGTGTTGCACCCTGTTTGCTGTTACTGCTAGGTTATTGACACCAGCTTCTCTATTCAGGAACCATCTCGCAATGGGGCGAGGTCACTAAGCCCAAGAAGGTGTCTAAGCCTAAGACGAAGACCGATACTTTCACATCCACTCCCGTCGATTCCTTCCCTGGATCCACGAGACCTGTTAGAGGTGGCCGCGTAGACAGCGGACGTGGACGTGGCAGGGCCACCGAGCGAGGCGGTCGGGGCGGTGGCCGCGGCAAGCCCCTCAATGCGACAATCAACGGCCACAAGACCAAGGAGGGCGAGCAGCTTTCAGTTCCTACCGAGGAGGCCAACGTATGGGGTGCTCCCAAGCCCACCGAAGAGGCGAGCGGATGGCCCGAGGAGAGCTCGCCTTCCGCCGAGACTCCTGCCGCCGCACCTGCTCCCGTTGCTCCCAAGCCCGTCGAGCCCGCGCAGAAGACCTGGGCTAGCATGTTGAGACAGTCCGTGCCGAAGCCTGCCCCCAAGCCAAAGGAGGTCGCTCCTCCCAAGCCTGCTGAGCCCGTTATCGAGCCTCTCCCGCCTGTCGCCGAACCTACCCCTGTTGAGCCCGAGGTTCAGGCTGAACCTGAAGCTGAGCCCGAAGTCCCAACACCCGTCGAGGAACCTACGCCCGAGCCTGTTAAGAAGGAGGCTACTCCTCCTCCTCCTCCCGCCGTCCCCGCGCTGCCTATCGTACCTATCGAGCCTGCCCTTCCCGCCATCCCCGTTGTTCCCGAAGTCGCCCTGAAGCCGTCCAAGGATCAACTTACCGAAACGAATCTCGAACAAGTTGCCGATGATTCCCACCCTCCACAGACCGAGACCGCTGCGAGCGAAGCCGCCGACTCTTGGGATCCTCGGGCCCAGGCCCCCAGCGCCACTGCGACCCCCAACTCCGCGTCTCAGCAGCAACATCAGACCTCCCGCGCCCCTGGCAGTGGCTTTGCTACGACTGCTTCCAAGGCCACCGATCGCACATCTACTCGCACCCCTACCTATGCCCGCCGGATCCTTGACCAGCAGGAGCCTGTCCGCATGCCTGGTAACCGTGACCAGGTCGATCGTGCCGCCGTTCAGTTTGGCGCTTTCAGCTTGAACGAGGAGGATGACATTGATGGTGACCGCGAGGAGCCCGAGACTCGCCCTCAGCCTCCTCAGGAGTCTCCTGTTACCCAACCTCGCGCTTCTCTTCCTCCTGCGCAGCCTGCCCCGGTTCCCGAGGCCTTCGCTGCCCAGAAGCCTGCGGCCTCGCTCCCTCCTACGGGCCCTGCCGGTATGACTTATGCCCCATTAGCCAATGCCTCAAGTTTGAGACTAACTCCATTTTTAGCCACTACCACTACCGCACCCCCTACGGCCCCGACCCAGCCTGCTGCCGCCGCGGCCGCTTCTCAGGGTGCGTACTACCTCCCGATTTCGTCACTTGTAGATGATTCACTAAAGACCCCGGCTGAAGCAGCTACGCAACCCCCTACTGCGCCGAGCACTCAGCAGTTCGGCCGCTTCGGCCAGCCTGCGCCCCAAGAGCCCGCTTCTTTCGGCGCTTCCAAGCCTTTCGATGCTTTCGGCCAACAGCCTGGTGCTGTGGCTGCGCAAACCCAGTACGAGACTGGCTTCCCCGGTCAGGGCCAAGCTGCGCAAACTCAGAACCAGCAGCAGCCAGTCGGCGCTTTCAGCTCGGCTCCCAGTGATTACTCTCAGTACTACACCGCTGAGCAAAGCCGCTACAACTACTACGGCCAAAACAACTTTGGTCAGCAACAGGGTGCTCAAGGACAGCAAGACGGTCTGTCCCAGCCCCAGCGCGGCTTTGGATATAACGCGCCCCAGGCCGATAACCTTAGCCAGTATCCTCAGAGCGGCGCTCAGCATACTCAGACTCGCTTCGGTTCTGGCACTGATATGGCCGGTACTCCTACCCCTAACCAGGCTGGAACCCAGGCCCAGACCGCTCAGACCACCCAGGCCCAGACTCACGGCCAGCAACAGCCGCATGATCAGTATGGCCCCTATGGCAGCCACCCTTACTACTCTAACCCTTACTACTCTGCGTACATGAACTACAACGGATACAACCAGGGCGCTTACGGAGCTCCCTATGGAAAGGGCGGACTTGGTTACCAGCCCAACCAGTATGGCATGTCTCCCCAGGCGCCTCATGGATACGCTTCCTCCCCTGCCGGTTTTGGACAGTCTACTCTCCACCGTGAGACCGGTGTTGGAGCGGCCGGCCTCAACGATTATGGTCGCACCGCTTCCGGCCAGTCTGCTCAGCAGCAAGGTCTCGGTGGCAGCGGCTTTGGTGGAATGCACGATGCTTTCGGTCGTGGTGGCTCTAGCTACCAGTCTCAGGCCGGCCAGTCCTTCAACGCTCCCGGAACTCAACCTGGTGCCGGTCCTTCGGCTTCTGATGACCTGAAGCCTTTCGGTGACTCCAAGGCTGCTTCCGGACCTAGCCCTGCTCTTGGCGGTGCCGCTCGTCCCGGCTCTGCTACCAACAACGCTCCCTCTCAGAGCGGCCTCCCCCCTCCGCAGTCGAACCAGCAGAGCGGTCTCGGTGGTATGGGATCTTATGGCTACCCCAACCATCTCCAGGGACATGGTCTCCACAACAACCAGACCGGTACTGGTTACGGCATGGGCGCCACCGGCTCCCAGGGTCACCAGAACACCTACGGTAACTATGGCGGACAAGGTTTCGGCGGGGGCTACTATGGCAACCCTCCACGTGGCGGCTGGGGTAACAACTACCACTAGCGGAGGAAACCCAGACCAAACATCGTGGGCCATTAGGGCCGCGCGGAACCAGAGCAGGATGTGGGAGGACAAGAAGAAGCCTCGCGCGTTCCTGCACACATAAGCAAATATCGTTTAGCGTTATTGATGGGATTCACCCCTCTCTGAGACTCATACTATCATCTCTGTGTACGATTTTTAACTACAACCGCAAAGGGACATGGCGTATTGACGAAACTCTATTTTGGGTGGTGGTGGGATGGATTGTCTCAAATTGCTTCGTCTTGTTTGTTGTGTGGGTTTTTTCTCGGTTATACAGTTTTCTTATTCTTTTTTTTTCCAAAGAGAAACTCCTTTTTTTACTCTCCAAGTCAGTGCGTTGGGTCCAAAGGGCATGTCATGAGATTGGCGGGCATCATGAAAAAAACATTTTTCTTCTCGCTGATTATGGGCGAAAAAGTAACGTTGGTTTCACTTACCTTCTTCTCTCTTCTGTGTGTCTTTTTTTCTCTCCAAAACAG